GGGGAACGATGCTCAGCCCCGGGGAAGCGGTGCCCAGCCCGGGGGAGCGATGCCCAGCCCGGGGGAGCGATGCTCAGCCCCGGGAAGCGGCTCCCCCCGCGGGAGGACCGTCCCTGCGCACCCCCAGCCCTCCGCGCCACAGCCCGAGCCGGAGGTACCGGCGGGCAGGGACAGGGAGGGAAGGCAGGGCTGTGCTCCAGCTCTACTTTTACCGTAACAGAGAAGGTGTTGGGGAAGGCAGCGGGTCTGCTGCCAACTTGATTGAGGAGGAGTTTGACCTTCACAAGACCCCGGTGTAGCCTTGAGAGGAGGAACTTTCCTGAGTAACTAATGTATGAGGAATTGCTGACCATGAAGCAGGATGCAAGAACTGCAATAGCAACATGCAGTAAGGAAGGTGGAAGAAAGTAAACGTTAACCAGTAGCAATATTAAAAACAAGCTTTGTAACCAATCATGTAGATACACGATATAACAATGTTAATATAAAAGCAACTGTTTGCTAGATAATAGATTCTTCTTGACTAAATTGTTGTGTCTCAACAACAAATGATGACCCCGATGTGATTTTGACAAAGACAGGATTGGAGAAATTGTGTGTGGGCTGCAGGATGATGTGCAGCGGAGACAGAGCCTGGTGAACCTGAAAGCAGAGGGAGTCTGCCTAGCCCGGACCTGAACTTCGACACCCGATAAGGTGAGCCACCGGGAATGGGATATAGTTATGGGCCAACAAATAACAAAAGAGGAAGAAACAATATTGTCCACTTGGAAGGCCCTATTAAAAAGAAAGGGTGTAAAAACCACTTACCAAGTTTTAAGGCAAAGTGGAGTGAGATGGAAGGATTCGAAGCTATGGCAGCCACAGCATTCAGTGTGCCTGCCTGGCAGGAAGTAGGGCAAAAACTATGGGATGCGATTTCAAAGGGGCAGAAGGATACAGCAGAACTAGCTACTACATGGCGGCTGTTAAGTGAGACTTTGAAAGAATGGAAAGCAGGATGTGAGGAACAGGAAAAATCATTAATGAAGGGGAAAGAGACTAATGATGATGATGGGAAAAACTCTGTATCGCTCATGGCGAAAGGGGGTTGCTCTGCCTTGTCTGCGGTTGCTGGAAAGAAACCTTGTACAGGGACGGTTAAACCTTGCTCCCGGCCCCCTCCCTGACCTGTCCCTAGTAAATATCAAACTCCTACCCAACAGTTACAACAAATGAAGCAAGCTCAGAGTGGTGCTGAACTTACGGCACCTCCCCTGGAAGAACAAGGGACAATAGACACTTTACAAATGCCGCTATCCTCTGAGGGGAGCAGCGAAGGAGAAGGAGAGGAGGATGAGGACAAGGAAGAGGTTTTAAATGCAGCTATGCAGTCACTGCATATTGCTGGCCCAAAGGGTAGTGCCAAGTGTGTCCAGCCATGGACTTCACCCCCTGCTACTGTAACTGTTATGCTTCACTCCCCCGATCCATTCTGGGCACAAGTTAGAAAGCAAGCAGCTGAAGTGGGAAACTGGGATCTAGTTGAAAGGCTTTGTTCATGTCACTGTTCACCACCTCCTCAAAATGAGAGTCCCGGTACATCTCCCATGTATAAGGCTGTAGCAGGCACTCAGCAGCATCATGAGCAGAGCATAATAAACTGAATGGTGGTACAGGATTTACAAAATAGGGCAGCAAAATTTGGAATTAACTCTCCCAAAGTAATGCAACTTATTAGAATTATTAATATGGACCTTTTATATCCCTATGATATTTCTCATTTGGCGCAAGTACTATTTCAACCCATACAACTCCAGGTATTTCAATCTACATGGAGACAAATGGCCTGTACGGCAGCACAAAATAATTGAGGGTTGGCACAGGGTGACCCCAGATTAGGGGTTGGAGAAGATGTGTTGCTTGGTGAGGGACCATTTAGTAATCCCCAACTACAAGTGACCTGGCATCCCCTTATATTGGAACAATCTCAACAAATAAGAATTAATGCTCTAAAAAGGACAATGGAGTTAGTGGCACACACACACACAAAAAAAAAAGTATGTTGCTATTTGCCAGGGTCCTAGAGAGCCTTTTTTGCTGTTTGTAGAGAAAATTTCAGCCACTTTGGAAAAGCATGTAGAAGATGACAGATTAAGACAAATGTTATATAAACAATGGCTAAAGACGATGCTAATCAGGATTGTCAAAAAATTATAGAAGTGCTGCCAGGGGATCCCTCCATGCCAGACATGGTTGCTGCCTGTTCCAAAGTGGGCACTGTAGAATATAAAATGTCAGCATTGGCTACAGCGATGAAGAGTAAAGCGCCTCCTAAGTGTTATGGATGTGGTTAGGATGGGCATGTTAAGGCCAATTGTCCAAGTAAACATGGAACACAGACAGGTATAACTTGCAAAAAATGTGGCAAACTAGGACATTTTGCAAAGCAGTGCCGCTCTAAATTTCATGCCAATGGGCAATTGCTCCAGGGAAATGGCAAGAGGCACATGAGAGGGTGTGCAAAGACACAAAATCCCCCTGTACCCGTGGCAGCTTGGCCCCACTTTGTAAACAACTGTGCCACAACCACTGGCTCCGCAGGGTTGGATGTGTCCACCGCTGTGAAATGCTGAGGTTTCAACCCCAAGCCCCAAATTAAGGTTGACATGTGGGTGATTCCCACAGCCCTTCCCAAAGTGGGGTGAGTTTGCCTTTAGGCTTCCCTCCAGGGTGGTGCCAGCCTGGCAGACAGAGCCATTGGGTAAAGGAGCCCCAGGTGTCTGCAGTCAGTAACCCAAGGTCAGTGTCCCACTGAGGGATAAAAGCTGGGACCCCTTGCAGGCAGGGGCAGTGTCTGTGTGTGAGGTGGATGTCCTGTGCAGAGTTCCCTGTTGGGGAAGGACCTCCTGCCTCCCTGGGACTGGGCTCCAGTCAGGTCTGGCTGTAGTAAACATGGGCTGTGTAGAGATTCAGTATGTGATTTCCTTGGTCTTGTGTGTTTGGCTTGTTGACTCAGTGGTCTCCCATCCCTTCTATGGGAGACTGCATTTCACTATTTATTCCACCCATTGTTGGTCATGCAGTGTTGTTGTTGGGGTCAGTGGGATTGATGTCGATTAGGTATAATCCGACTGACTTGTTTGTACCCCCAGTGCTTGCCCATGTACTTACCCTTTTGTATCAAATACAATTTGGTTATTGGTTCAACTTTATGCTGGCTGTGTCCTTCATGCTAGGCCTGATAATTGGCAAAACATGCTGACACAGTAACTATAGTGACAAAAGACATTGTTAAGGTCCCACTTTATGTGAAAGGACCTATAGGGCAAGGACTGAGTATGCTATTAGTCAGGAGATCTAGCAGCATCATAAATGGATTCATTGTGCATGTGGGAATTATTGATGCCAATTTTACTGGGCAAATTTGTGCTATGATTTCTATTCCTTACCCACCAGTCATCAGTCCCAAAGGCACTTGCACTGCTCAACTTGTACCTTTTTTGAGTCGTGTTCCTAAAACAGAACAACAGTTGTGACATGATGGAGGATTCAGCTCTACAGGACCTCTGCAAGTCTTCTGGTCACAGACTGTTTCATCATCAAGACCACAGATGGTGTGTATGCTATCCAGCAGAGGACAATTGCCAGCAACAGTGAAACTTGCAGGACTTCTAGACACAGGAGCTGATGTAACTATAATATCTCAGTATCTGTGGCCATCCACTTGGCCAACATAAATATAGGAATGAGAGTGGTGGGACTGGGAGGGTCAACACATTCTGATCACCAATCCTGAGGGTCAACAGGCAACTGTCAAACCCTATGTGATGATGGCCCCCCTGAATCTGTGGGGAAGGGACTGTTTTGTCACAGTGGGAGTGAAAATTACTACAGATTTTTGATGGGGGCCACTGTGCTGCAGGGTGTAAAACAACCCACAAGTTGTGTTGACCTGGTTAACCAATAACCCTGTGTGGGTGGATCAGTGGCCCCTGCCAACTGAGAAATCAAAGGCCCTGCAGGAGTTGGTAGCAGGACTAACTACTGGACATATTGAGCCTTCCCATAGCCCATGGAATACCCTCGTGTTTGCAGTTAAAAAGAAATCGGGAAAATGGTGATTTTTACATGACCTATGGCAAATTAATGCTATTATGGCTATGATGGGAGCCCTACAACCAGGCCTACCCTCACCTGCCATGATCCCTATTTAACTGGGAAATTATTGTGATGGATTTAAAGGACTGGTTTTTTACTATCCCACTAGCCTCCCAAGATAAAGAAACATTTGCATTTTCTGTGCCTTCTTTAAATCATGTGGAACCTTCAAACAGGTATCAATGGAAGGTTTTGCCACAAGGCATGAAAAGTTCACCAACAACTTGCCAATGGTTTGTAGCCCAAGCTTTGTCACCTGTAAGGGAAAGATTTCCTACTAGTTATTGTTACCATTACATGGATGACATCCTGTTAGCATCAAACAGCAAGGAGCAGTTGAACGACATGGAGAATTTAGCCAGATTCATTACCTCAATATAGATTAGTTATTGCACCTGAAAAGGTACAAAAGATAGAACCCTGGAAATATTTAGGAATGACAGTTACAAGCATGCAGGTTGTGCCCCAATCTGTGAAACTCAACCTCGAGGTTAAGACACTCAATGATGTACAGAAACTGATGGGGTCCTTAAGTTGGATAAGGCCCTATCTTGGACTGTCCCATTTGCAGCTACAACCATTACTGGAATTATGAAAAAACTAATGATCTAACAGAACCCAGAATATTAAATAAGGAAGCATTAAGTGTAATTCACATGGTAGAGCAATCTATACACAAGAAATTTGTTTCTCAAATAGATCTGTCTCAATTAGTACAATTCTTTGTACTAATTGACAAAACTGTATCATTTAGTGCTTTAGTGCAATGGAACCCTGAATAGGATGACCCATTACATATTTCAGAATGGATGTTTTTGTCATTCTGGCTATGGAAAACTACTCCTGGACTGTTTGAGCTTATTGCTGATGTAATTGTAAAAGCCAGAAAATTATGTTTAGAACTAACAGGGCATGGTCCAGCTATGATTGTTTTACCTGTACAAAATTTGTATTTTGAATGGTGTCTGGCAAATAATTGTCAACTGCAAGCAGCCATGGTGGGTTTTCAAGGGCAGATATTGTATCATCTACCATCGCACCTGCTACTGAAATTTGCTCAAGAAGTACCATTTGGTCAAAAAAATGTAAGCCAACCAGAACCTGTAAAAAGCACCACTGTTTTTACAGATGGCTCAGGAAAACCAGGTAAAGCAGCAGTAGTGTGGTATGAAAACAACAACTGGAAAAACAAGGTAGTATATCTAAAAGGTTCTTACAAGTAGTGGAGCTGTGTGCCATGGATGCTGTTTTTTCTATTTTTTCTACTTCTGTAAATATTGTGACTAACTCAGCATATGTAGCTAACCTAGTTACTTGACTAGACAAAGTGGTCTTGACTATGTCAGACAAGAGTATTATTTGATGTGCTTTTGGAACTCTGGAAGAGTATTCAACTGCAAACAGAACCTTATTTTATCATGCACATTTGTAGTCAGTCCACTTTACCAGGGGTTTATATGGAAGGTAATGTCAGAGCTGATGCTCTTGTTTTTGCTATATGGCTCCAAGTCCTGTTCCTAATATGAAACAACAAGCTGTATTATCCCATCCCATGAACTTTTCCATCAAGTTTTTCGAGCTTTACGACAGCAGTTTGGTCTGTCCCATGCTGAAGCTCGCTCTGTTGTAGCTGCCTGCCTCGATTGTCAGGGAACTCACACTCCAGTGCAATTTGGTACTAACCAGCAGTATACAGGCCTTACAGACTTAGCAAACTGATGCTACTCATATAAATGAGTTTGGCAGACAAAAATATGTTCATGTCGCTATTGATACATATTCTCATGCCTTGGTGGCAACAGCACATAATGGAGAAACAGGAAAAAAACGTGATTCAACATTTGCAGAAGGCCTTTACTATGCTTGAGGTACCATGCCAAATTAAACCAGTGGCCCAGCATATGTCTCAAAAAAAGTTCAAATATTTCTTAATTTGTGGGGTGTTTCTCACATGGATATTCCCCATTCCCCAATGGGACAAGCAATTGTTGAATGTGCACATGGCACATTGATACGACAGCTTCAAAAACAAAAAGGGGGAATGATTGGGGAACCACCCCAGGCATGTTTAGATAAAGCAGTTTATGTTCTTAACTTTCTCCATTATGGGGATAATCTTCTCTACCTCATCTTTTTCCACATTTTTCTTTTCTTTTTTTCAAAACAGAATTTGCAAAAAGGCGTCAAAGTATCTGTTGAGGATTTAGTTGCTGGCCAGTGGAGTGGCCCATGTGAGTTATTAACCTGGGGCAGGGCTATGCTTGTGTCTCTGTAGATGCCAGCCCTCCCTGGGTTCCTGCTCAGGGTGTTCGGCCTGTGCTGGAACCTGCACAGGGAGAAGGATGGGTAGTTTGACAAGCCAAGCACAATGTCTGGGTAACTTTGGCAAACATGACACATCAGGAAGCCTCGTGCCTCTCTACTGTGAGCCCTGAAAATCCATTCTCCACATGCTTGGTGGGATTGCCAGTAGACACCTGGCCTAACCCACTGCCCTATGTGGATCTTTGCAATTCTCAAAAAAATTGTACAAATAACTGAGATGGTATATATAGTTACCTTCCACAGGCTACACAAGAACCCCAGGAGCTAGAATTGTTAGGTTCTGTTATAATGGATGCTTGTGTGTTTTTTAATTATTCTTATAATAACACTGCACAATGCGGGCAAAATGTTAATGCAACTATTGTTATTTATCATAACTCAACCGCTTGGTGTAATTATACCTCACCTAACATTTCACAGTCTTTTGCTGTTCCTCTTGCATTACCTCCTGGTGTCTTTTTAATTTGTGGAGATCGAGCATGGGAGGTATTTCCTCCAAACTGAATGGAGGTCCATGCAGCCTTGGCAGACCCACCCTTTTAACACCAAATGCAACGATGATACTGAATATGACTAGGCATCAGAGATGAATATGGAGGGCTGCTCACCAGTTTACCTCAGGCTGTCATGATGAAGTAACATTTTGGAATCCAGACCAATTATTGCATCCTCCTTTTTTGCGCCAGGAGTTGCTGCTGCAGCTGCTTTAAAAAAATTAACAAATTTAGGGTGTTGCCTTAGTAAACAAACTAATGCCACTTTGTTGGCCCTTAGTGGCCTTTTAACTGATGTTGGTAGTGTTAGATATGCTACTTTACAAAACAGAGCTGCTATTGATTTTTTGCTTTTGGCACAAGGACATGGGTGTGAGGATTTTGAAGGAATGTGTTGTATGACTTTATCAGGCCACTCAGAATCTATTTTTAAGAGCATACAACAGTTAAAAGATGGTGTTAAGTGTCTGAAAGAGGATGAGACTTTAGACTGGCTAATGAAATTATTTAGAGGTTGGGGGTTATCTGGATGGTTAATATCTTTGGTCAAAACTGTGGGGGTAGTTTCCCAATAGTTGTGGTCGTGCTATTAATGTTGCCTTGCCTCGTTGGTCCTTTGCAAAGGGCCTCACAGAAGACTGTACACCATATTTCTAGCACAAATATAAAAAGGGGGAATTGTTGAGGAAGGCAGTGGGTCTGCTGCCAACTTGATTGAGAAGGAGTTTGACCTTCATAAGATCCTGGTGTAGCCTTGAGAGGAGGAACTTTCCTGAGTAAACAATATATGAGGAACTGCTGACCATGAAGCAGGATGCAAGAACTGCAATAGCAACATGCAGTAAGGAAGGTGGAAGAAAGTAAATGTTAAAAACAAGCTTTGTAACCAATCATGTAGATATACAATATAACAATGTTAATATAAAAGTAACTGCTAGATAATAAAGAGATTCTTCTTGACTGAATAAATTGTTGTGTCTGTCTCAACAATAACAAGAAGGGGCAGTAGAAAGGCCTAACGTGATGTGAAAAGGCTGCCTGCAGCCACAAGAGCGGGGAGGAGGCAGCTCCAGAGCCACACACAACCAGGGACCACAGCACCCATGGTGGCAGGAGCAGCGTGGAAAGCAGTTGATTGCACAGATTGGAGCAAGCAGCGGCAGCAGGCCCTGTAAAAAACGGGTGTAGTTCAAATGCAAACCATCTCGTTGGGGAGCAGCGAGAGGTTCCAGCCCGCCTCAGCCAGCGCAAGCAGCTCCTCCTCTGCCGGCAAGCGCAGCCACAGGCCTGTCCCTGCTCCCAGGACATGGCTGCTTTGGGAAGAAACGAGGACTGCTCTGTGAAATGCTCTGGGACAGCTGCGAAGGGGAAAGCTCCCCCAGACTCAGGGGTGACATCCCC